CCTCACTCAGTAAAGCAGTTTCTATTTCCATCCATTTGCATGCAAAATTCAAGATGTCATTGTTTTTTACCGCTGAGTAAAACTCTAATGTGTATATGTTCCACACCTTTTTTAACCATTTTTCTATTGAGGGTCACCTAGGTTGTTTCCAGTTTCTGGCTATTACAAATAGTGAAGCTATGAACATAGTTGAACAAATACTTTTGTAGTATGATAGGGCATCTCTTGGGTATATTCCCAAGAGTGGAATTGCTGGGTCCTGAGTGAGATTGGCTTCCAGTTTTCTGAGAAACTGCCACACTGATTTCCACAGTGACTGCACAAGTTTGCATTCCCACCAACAATGGATGAGTGTTCCCCTCACTCCACATAAGTTTGCATTCCCACCAACAATGGATGAGTGTTCCCCTCACTCCACATCCTCTCCATCATAGGCTACCATTGGTGTTTTTGAGTTTAGCTATTCTGACTGGTGTAAGATGGTATCTCAAAGTTGTTTTGATTTGAATTTCCCTGATCGCTAAGGAGGATGAGCATGACCTGAAGTGTCTTTTGGCCATTCGAAGTTCATCTGTTGTGAATTCTCTGTTCAGTACAGTACCCCATTTTTAATTGGGTTAAATAGAGTTTTAGTGTCTAGTTTCATGAGCTCTTTGTATATTTTGGAGATCAGACCTTTGTCTGATGAGAAGTTGGTGAAGATCTTCTCCCAGTCAGAAGGTAGCCTTTTTGTCTTACTGACAGTGTCCTTTGCCTTATAGAAGCTTCTCAGTTTCAGGAGGTCCCATTTATTCATAGATTCTCTTATTGTCTGTGCTACTTGGGTTCTACTTAAGAAGTGGTCTCCTGTGCCTATGTCTTGTAGACTACTTCCCACTTTCTCTTCTATCAGGTTCAAAGTGGTCAGATTAATGTTGATGTCTTTAATGCATTTGGACTTGAGTTTTGTGCATGGTGATAGATATGGATCTACTTTCATCCTTCTACAGGTTGACATCCAGTTATGCCAGCACCATTTGGTAAAGATGCTTTCCTTCTTCCATTGTATACCTTTATCTCCCTTGTCGAAAATCAGGTGTTCATAGGTTTGTGGGTTAAAATCCATGTCTTCTATTCGATTCCATAGGTCGACTTCTCTGTTCTTATGCCAATACCAAGCTTTTTTCAATACTATAGCTTTGCATATCACCATAGAACTTTCATCTGGCGATGAATTGAGATATAGAAAGAGACACACATTGGAACACTGGACTTAACAGACTAGGTCCATATGAGAAGCAGAAGGAGGGAGAAAGTGAGCAAGGAAGACAGGATCAGAGGGAACCTTCATCCGACGATAGATGGAGATACAGACAGAGACCCACACTGGATCACTGGACTGAGCACCCAAGGGCCAAATGAGGAGCAGAAGGAGGGAGAACACGAAAAAGAAAGCCAGGACCATGAGGGGTGCGTTCACCCACTGATACAAGGGGACTGATCTATTGAGAGCTCATCAAGGCCAGCTGGACTGGGAGTGAACAAGCATATGATCAAACCAGATTCTCTGAATGTGGCTGACATGGGGGCTGACTGAGAATCCATTAACAATGGCACTGGGTTTTATTTTGTCTGCATGTACTGGCTTTTTGGGATCCTAGTCTGTTTGGATGCTCACCTTCTTAGACCTGGAGGGAGGGGGGAGGAACTTGAACTTCCTACAGGGCAGGAAACCCTGACTGCTCTTAGGACTGGAGAGGGAGGAGAAGAGGGAGTGGGGGGTATGGAAAGGTATTGGGAGGAGGGAAGGAAGTGGAAATTTTTATAAATAAATAAAATGTAAATTAAAAAAATAAAACCTTTGTGCAAAGAAGCCAAGACCAGAGGGAACCTTCACCCGTTGATGGATGAAGATTAAGACAGAGGACCACACTGGAGCACTGGACTGAGCCCCCAAGGTCTAAGTGAGGAGCAGAAAGTCGGGACCTTGAGGAGTGCGTTCACCCACTGATACAATGGGACTGATCTAATGAGAGTTTACCAAGGCCAATTGGACTGGGACTGAACGAGCACGTGATCCAACCAGATTCTCTGAATGTGGCCGGATTTTCTGAATGTGGCTGGCTCGGGGTCTTTCTGAAAAACCATTGACAATGACACTGGGACTTGTTTCCTCTGCATATACTGGAATTTTGGGATCCAGTCTGTTTGGATGCTCACCTTCCTGGACCTGGAGGGAGTGGGGAGGAACTTGAACTTCCCACAGGGGAGGAAACCCTGACTGCTCTTAGGGATAGAGAGGGAGGAGGAGAGGGAGTAGGAGGAGTGGGAGGGTGTTGGGAGGAGGGGAATGGAAACTTTTATAAATTAATAAACTTTTATAAAATAAAGAAAAAATAAGTAAGTAAATTAAAAAGAAAAAATATATATGGAAAAAAGATCAATAACATAAAAACAAATATAACAATACAAAATAAATGAAACAAATATTTGGAAAAAAGAATAACAATGCACATCATAAAGACTGAGAAACACTGCTTTAACTGCTTAGATCTTTATAGGCTGATTAGTCACACTTATAGTATAACTGAATACACTCAGACTTTTCTCTTATCATTATTTACTAAACAGCTCAGTAGATCAAGTGTTTGGTATTTATATTACATTAATTATGACAAATGTCTTAGGGCTTAATTGCTTTGATAAGACACCTTTACCATGGCAACACTTTTAAAGAAAACCATTTAATTGTGGCTGGTTTATGCTTCAGAAGTTTAATCATTATAGAATACAAACAGACATAGTGCTGGAAAACTGTTGGAAGTTCTTCATCTATATCCACCGGCAGCAGTACATGACTTTGTGCCTCACTGGGTATAGCTTGAACATGAAAAGCCTCAAAGCTTGCCTCCACAGTAACACACTTCCTCCAACAAGACCATATCAACTCCACCAGGACAATGACTCCTAATAGTCCCACTCCCTATGGGCCAAACATTTTAAACACATGAGTTTATGGGAGCCATTCCTATCCAAACCTCCACAATAAGTAATCTAAAAAAGATAGACATAGAACTGTGGCATAGCATTTGTCTATGCACATGACCATAGGTTTGACCCTTAGTATCACAAGCAATAAGTCATTAGGAGTTGTTTTATGCCCTTGTATTGTTTGCTCTGTGACCAATCTTTCCACAGTTTCTTTGTTCCTTTAGTAGCTTCAAATGGAGATTCATCTCATGGAACAGGCCTTAGAAAAACACAAAAAAAAATGGTTGGTTACTCCAATGATGTTCATGACAAAATAATTGGCACCAAGGTACAAATCACACCATGACAGTCATTGCTATACCTTGCATAACTTCCCAGATCATTTTGAAGCTTGTCTTTTTTCTCTAGCAGTGTAGATAGGACTTCCCACAACCATTTACACTATTCAGTAATGATGATGCTTCCAAATGATTTATTAGATTGATTTCTTTATGTTTTATGCCTCAAGTTAGGTCTTAATCAATGAGTAATTAGTATAAAGGTCTGTAAGGTAACAGAGAGCTTTGGCAACAGACCTGCTTGGGGGGTCTATTTGACTCAATTGACCAACAATTATTAAGCACAAAATTGAAATTGAAATATAAATTCAATATGTGACAGAATGGCAGAAACCATCACAGAAATGAATTCACCTTTGCTATAGAGAAAGAGTTTCTTTGCTTTTGGTTCTCCCAGCACAGAAGTAGTTGATAAGAACATATGGGTGAAAACATCACCATGTTTGGTTGGAAGATATAAAGAAAATAAGCTTAAATATTCCTCCGTGCTTACCAGTTTTCATAGTGCCAGAAGATACTACACAAGCTACCAAAGGAAAAAAGTTTCCAGTAGGCTTACCTAACTGTGAAACTCTTAGGTTAGACATGTACTCTTTGCTACAGTGACAAACTGTTATGGGAGCAACCATCTACTCTCTGATTACATTTGAGTCCTGCTCCACAGAAGAGAATGCAAGTATGGTTCCATAAACCTGGTCAGAAGTGTATGTTTGGGGGAAGTGATAGACCCTAGTGGAGAGCTCAATACTGTTGTTTAGTAAAATGGACATAGCATCAAAATCACTTCTAAATATCTATATTGATACACAATTACAAATTCTACTGTCAGCCTTAATAAAAATCTTTGCTCTCTGAGTTTAGGTAACTGTGGAAGATGGGCAGAGAGATTATAAAATTAGGAGAGGAGCTGCATAATGCCACTTCTGGGTGGAACTCCATCTATGCAATTTTTTGAACTCACAACAGCTGTAGTTACTTAACTAAACCTTCACAAGATAGATTGAACCTGTTATCAGTCAGTATGTCTGCAGACATGCCTTTACCCCTATCTCTGCTAGTAAAACTATTGATTATTGAAAGACTCTGAGAAGGATCAGTGATAATCTTCAGTTGTGTGCCCACTGGTGCACCCACTAAGCTCCAATGGACAGTTCCAACTCCCAGTCACACAGAAAGTTCTGTCTAAACACAGTTGTACACAAAACAAAACAAAAATATACAATTATGGGAATGATATTTGTAGTGGGGGTGGACTGACAAGATAGGATGTAAGAATAATAAGAATACATTCTATACATCTATAAAAATATCAAGAATAAATTTGATTAACAAAAGACAAGACCTAGCATTCTCCCGAGGGGAAGGCATTCATTCCAAAGATATTAAAGATCTCCCTTCTTAAAGCTGGGACAGCAAAACACACACACACACAAACACACACACACACACACAGAGAGAGAGAGAGAGAGAGAGAGAGAGAGAGAGAAGATAGATGGATGAAAGAATTTATGGACAGATAAAAGGATGGATGGTTGGATGGACAGATAGATGGACAGATAGACAATAGATAGAAGATAGAAGATAGATAGATAGATAGATAGATAGATAGATAGATAGATAGATAGA